ATTATTATTATTATTATTATTATTATTATTATTATTATTATTATTATGCAGTATTACAAATTTGACTAAATTAGTTACATATATATTTTGAAAGAAATTGTGTAGAATAATAAGAGTTCATAATAAATGACATATTATGTTTATATTTTGTACGTAAACGTATATACTACAAGTATAAATAAAGCTTAAATAAATAACAAGAAAACTTCTATTTTTAATATTTAAATTTTTTCTTAAAAAAGTTTTAATAAGTTAACTAATTTAAATGTAATAGATATTTAAAATCAAAATTAATGGAAATATTATATTTCAAGATTGCTTTATTTGATTTAAAAATTAAACTGCTCGGATTTTAGTAAAATCATTGAAATAATTTCAATTTTTCTTTCTATCAAGCACATAAAAGTAAAATTTATTACATTAATATTAGCAATCATACGTTGCCGAGTATACATAAATACACACACACACACACATGTACGCATAATAGGAAATATAATTATTGATAACAATTACGTATAATGCTTATTCACATCAAGTATTTTATTGTTGAAAGTTCTTCTTTCTTAATAATTCCATTAAGATGAAATTGGAATCAGTCAAGCAATTAAAAATATTATTAAACTTATCGGTGTCAAAACGAAAGTCTTCTATTATATTATCATTAATGCGCCAACCGCAAAAAAAACAAACCTTATGGTTTTACATTTACTCTGATATAGCTTAAAAACAAAGATAAAATTACATTTTTCTGCTTAAATTCCTTTAGAATAATTAAATATTGTTAAATAATACCCCTGACGTTTTGATACGTTTTGTGTTACAGAATCAACAATTATTTTGCGTTTGGATTTGTTTGTTTAAAGAGCAATGATAAAAGAAAAAAAATGGTAATGGAAATGAAAGTAAATATCTAGTTTTAAAATTTACGGTGAATTATCTAGGATTATACTAGTGGTGTATTATTTAGTGTATTATTGACTAATGACCATGTATATGTCAATGTTGCCTATGCTTGTGTCGTGGTGGAGAAATAACATTATGTATTCGTACATACAATGAAAACGAACGTATTTTACTCGAGCTGATTTATCGTTACGACAGGTTCACAGTGGCCGAGAATTTATTGCGACACTATAGTATGAGATCATGTCAATATGCTATTATGGTAATAAAATGAGATCTTTGAAGAAAGTATAATACAATGATACTTTATACGATTATTTACTCAGATATGAATTTGCGGTAGTGACGGATGTTGGAAAATTGATCTGGATGCTCTTTTTTTTTTTACATTAATTTAATTATCATTGTCAAAATAATTGACAAACAACATAATGATCATCTGATTAAAATATGATCAAATAGTCGTAATTGAACGGATGACTCATAAAAAAAAAAAGATATTAGATAATTTTGTTGAACGATTTGTCCCCCAAAGCATTTACCTATGCACTTTGGATGACGCTGAACTCATAATTGTATCCATTTACGATAGGGCATCTATACACGTTGCGAGATGACATTTCGAAAAACGGGGGATCGTTAATATCGCTAAAGACGATTTACCATCGGAAAGAAGAGAAAAGAAAAGCAAAAACAACGCAAAAACACGTTGATTTATGTCTGTAGCTCGAGCAGTGAGTTTCACGAACCGGTGGAAATTATAAAGGACATTCAGCCGTCGAGAAAATGTCTTTCTTTATTCATACTTTGTTCGTTGGTCGGATGTAAAGTAGAATAGTAAAGAATAATAAACCCATTTAGCGCGGTTGATTAGGCACTTGCCCCGGCGGTGGAATTGTTGAACTGCGAGTAAACCAACCCAAGGGCGAAATGAAGGGATAGGGGATCGAATATAGTTGCTGAGATACTCGAGGGAAATAATTGAAAAAAATAAAATAAAAACCGAGGAAACGCGATAATATTGTAAACTCACGGAATCGCCAAGATTACGAGTTATACTCCCTTTTTGTTTCCATATTTTTTATAGCTCTACGAGTTATAGGATTTTCATTTTATTTTTATTTTTACAATACCTAATAATAATAATAATATCCATCCATAATCACATTGCGTGTGTGTATATGTATTTATATGTGTATTATAGTGTTATCGTAATCGCCATCATTGACGTCTTGTAATAAAGTCACCAAAAGTCAGTCTCGTTCGAATATTGTCCAAGAATATCAAAATAATAACGACGACCGCATCGTCGAATATCCGCGAAAACGTGGAAACGACACGACGACATCGCGTCGTAAGGGTCTCGTGTGATTGGTGTGCGTGTTCCGGAGACGTGTGTCCGACACGATGCATCATCATCTTTCTCCGTTTCCCTCCACATCTTTGTCCTATGTATAAATATGTAGCGCAACGATCTATAACACTACGTGTACACACCCGCACATATATATTTATGTACGTATATCGTCCGGGACGTTTTATTATTGCCAGTACGCACACACGAAGCGGCCACACTAGCGGAGCGCGCCGGGGCAGAGTTTGACCCCAATGGTTTTGATTACGCTTGTCAGTTTCAACGTGGGAAATTAATCGTGATCGGTACCCATTCTCGTTCGCCATCCGAAATAACGTACATCGCTATGCGTACAGTTCTCACCCTTCTCTCGTGCGAGCGCGTGTAATTAACATAAAACACGACGGTGGAGTGGTATCCGACAGAAGCGTCGCAAATCCGTGCGTGGGCGAACGAGCGTGACACGGGTCGTACGATTTATCGCGTACGGAGGAGCTATTATTCATTCGATTTCTTTTATCATCATCAGGCATTGTCGTTTTGCGTTCGGCGCGGCACTGGAAAACGACAGTGGTGTATTAGAGGGTATACGGGAGTATACGGCGTATACCAAATACTATATTTTTATCCATGGCGTATAGAGGAATTGATGATACGCGGGTATACGGCCGTGTATAGCGTATAGTTTATAATTTGACAAATAACTACATAATACCTTGACTAATCTAACTTGTGGTTATATTTATGACGTGATTCGGTATCGGATATATTATTATTATTATTATTATTTTTTTTTTTTAATGAAAAATTCAAATCTGTTATAATTTAATAACAAGTTTCTGTTATAAAACAGTCATAATTAAAGATGTGTAGTTAATGAGTGAGTTTTTTTGGTTCCTACCATATGATAGTTACTACACGATTAGGCGCGTATACCCATGAATTATTTTAGCAATACATCGCTGGAAAACGAACGTTTCGACATTGAACCGAGCGCGTAGGTCTAGAGCACCGATTTGTAATACATCCTCCCCCTCTCCCCCGGAAACGCGATCGCCGTACTGTTAAAAAACGATACCCTTAAACCGTCGGAGTACAGTTGTATTACTGTCATGGAATCGGATAATCATAATTGTCCCGATTGTACGGCGTCGGGGTACGTGCGAAACGACTTATAGGTAACGATTTTCCACGGACAGGTTCTACGAAGATTGGAACGACGGGCGCGACTGAGGAGAGAGGTAAAAAATAAATCGTACTAATGCGAATTTGTTTTTTAGCGTTCGAACACTGCAATCGACCCCCCGTCCCTTAACGTCTAC